CTCATGCCTGTAATCCTAGCTACTCAGGAGGCTGAGATCTGAGGATCGCGGTTCAAAGCCAGCCCGGGCAGGAGAGACCGTGAGACTCCTATCTCCAATGAACCACCAGAAAACCAGAAGTGGCGCTGTAGCTCAAGTGGGAGAGCGCTCGCCTTGAGCTGAAGAGCTGAGGGACAGCGCCCAGGCCCAGAGTTTAAGCCCCACGACCGACCAAAAAAAAAAAAAAAATTAGTTGTTATTGTTGTGTGTGTGTGTGCATGCAGGTGTGCTGATATATTGGAGCTTGAACTCAGGGCCTGGTTGCTTTCCCTTAGCTTTTTCACTCAGGGCTGGTGCCCTACCAATTGAGCCACAGCTCCACTTCTGAGTTTTGCTAATTAACTGGAGTCTGCTGCACAGACTGACTTCAAACCCTGATCCTCGGATCTCAGCCTCATGAGTAGCTATTATTACAGGCGTGAGCCAGCAGCACCAGCTTTAAAAGTGTCATCTTTGATTTTAAGGACAGACTTCCCAAGTAGAAGTGAACAATACTTCCACCTGCAATAGCAGCTACACTTTGAGAAGTGATTACTTACAGCTCAGCAAAGTTCTTCCAGTCATCCTCACTAATGGATGGTCTTGTGTGGCTGAATGCAGTCATTAAGTGGGATTGGCTAATAGTGAGACTGGCTTTCATTGGTCCTGGTTGGCTAAGCGGTTCATCCTCCTTAAACACAAACAAACAGAAAGTTAGTTAGCTTAGGAGTGGGAGGAAAACAGTGTCAGTCCCAGTATCATTTATTTTTTGTCAGTTTTTATAGGCGGCATACCTTCCCTTTCTTATAAAATAATTGTTTGAAAGCAAAGAAATTCATAACTTTTTGAATCAATGTTTCAACACCTTGTTTATAAACATAGCTTACATGCAAATAAAATAAATACACATAAAAACTGGAAAGACAATTTTTAAAAATCCATTTTCTTTTTTGGTGATACTGAGGTTTGAACCCAATGCCTCACATTTTAAGGACAGTCGAACCACACCCTCAGCCCTTTTACTTCGGTTATTTTAAAATAGTTCTTGTATTTTTGCCCAGGACTACCTTTGGAACATAACCCTATCTATGCCTGCCATATACCTGGAGTTACAGGTACATGGGAGGTACCATCATGCCAAATTCATTGAATGAGAGACGTTCTTGCTAACTCTTAGCTTGGGCTAGCCTGGAACTTCAGCCCTCCCAATTTCTACTTTACAGGCAGATAAGAAGAGGAGAGAAAAGAACAGAAAGAGAAAAACAAAACAAATACATTAAAAAACGCTCCACAATTATATTGAGAAGGAAAGCAGTCATACTCCACTTTGGCTCCGATATCTTCCTTTAATAATACTGATTTCTGCTCTCAGTTGATCTCTTTGTTCTTGCGTAAGTTCTTGGCAACCTTCTTGTGAAGCTGTCCTGAACACTGGAGGTTGTGAAAACAAGTGGTCTTTCCCAGGAAATCCAGGCAAATCCTGAGTCATGGAGCTTGGTGCAGAGAGACACTGTGAGCTCTGCATGTTAGGTACAGAAATAGGAAAGAAGGGAGAAAGAACGAGGGGGAGGGGCCAAAGAGGGAGAGACAAACTTTTAACATATATTGAAGTTCAAATTTTAGTTTACTGAAATTAAGCGAAGTTTATAAGATGTCAGTTTTCTACAAACCAAGGTTCATTTTTTTAATCTATGGTGAAAACCGCCTAATAGAGGAGTTTCTTTTCTTTCTTTGGGGCTTTGAACTCAGTGCTTCCTGCTTGAGCCTCACCTCTTTCCATGCTGCTACAGAGTCTGCCCATAAATTAATGGACAGGCTACGTTCCAAGTAAGTCTTATTCTCAGTTTTTGGAAATACTTATAGGAAGGTTTTTAGAACATTTATTTCTAGAAAGAAATTACGAGATAGAACTCAAAATTAAAGATGGTTAAAGCAATACTAATTATTCTTAGGAATCAAAATAGGTAAGTTTCATAGTTTAGAATCTGAATTAATAACACATATATAACAAAATAACTAAATACAGGTAAAATGTTCTATGTTTCAAAAAAAATAACTGAGCCCTTGCTGAGGGTGGGTGGGTGGGGAGAAATACACGTTGAATACTATTTAAGTAGAAAAACCAGTGATAGGGCCCTAATTTCATGTGGATATTTCTTTCTTGATAAAACTATTTTTACTGCCTTTATATTTTCTGAAAAGAATCACAGATTCCAATTTTGTGGTCAAGAATTGTTGACATAAGCAGGGTGCTGGTGGCTCACGCCTGTAATCCTAGCTACTCAGGAGGCTGAGATCTGAAGATCATGGTTCAAAGCCAGTCCGGGCAGGAAAGTCTAACCACTAGAAAACCAGAAGTGGCGCTGCGGCTCAAGTGGTAGAGTGCTCGCCTTGAGCTGAAGAGCATAGGGACAGCGCCCAGGCCCAGAGTTCAAGCTCCATGACCGGCAAAAAGAAAAAAAAAAGAATTGTTGACATAATCTTGTCAAATTTCTCATTGTCCTCAACTATTGTAGTTAACTATGGAATGGATCTCGCACTATGGAGGAGCCTAAAAAGCAAGTAAAAGGGTAAGCAAAGTCACTGGCTACTTTTATCACCTTTTTTCATCCCTGTTTGAAAGGCTAAAATAACTAATTAGCGGCATTAAAAAACACAAGACCAATATCCAAGAGGGAAGAATATGTGGAAGTGGTAAGGAGACACTGTTTGATGCTATCTAGTTCTAGTTCTGAATTGTGTAGTAATGAATATGCTAGGTACCAGATCAGAAGACGTTCCATTTCCAAGTTCTGACTCATAAGAGCTTCCAAAGTACAGCCGATACATATTGAATTTTGATTCATCTGGAAGTATCTCAGACATTTCTAGAGAAACAAGGGACTGATCTAAGCCACACTCGCCATCTCCAGCTGAGTCATCAGAACCACTGCTATGGTTAAGAAAGACCATTGAAGACAGACTTAAGTCACTATCAGAACTGGAACTTCGATCCTAAAACACACAAAAGGAGAAGCAGTTGTAAGACTTAAGTAGTTCACAACTCAGAAGTTAATAACATAAACAGCCTACAAACAGAGCCATATAAGGAGACTTCAGTAATTTTTTTGTCAGTCCTGGGGCTTGAACTCAGGGCCTGGGCAATGTCCCTGAGCTTCTTTTGCTCAAGGCTAGTGCTCTACTACTTGAGCCACAGTGCCACTTCCAGCTTTTTCTGTTTATGTGGTGCAGAGGAATCAAACCCAGGGCATCATGTGTTCGAGGCAAGCATTCTGCCACTAAGCTACATTCCTAGCCCAGAATTCTTTTAACATGCTCCTATCATTTCTCTAATGGCATGTAAGTGAGGCACATAAGTAAAATTTTAATTATTAAAATAAGAAAAGACAGTGGGCACTGATGGCTCATGCTTGTAATACTAGTTACTCAGGAGGCTGAGATCTGAGGATTGTGATTCAAAGCCAGCCCAGTAAGGAAAGTCTTTGAAACTCTTATCTCCAATAAACCATCAGGAAACCAGAGTGGCACTGTGGCTCAAGTGGTAGAGCACTTGAGCTGAAGAACTCAGAGACAGTGCCCAGGTCCAAGTTCAAGCCCCACAACTGACACACACACACACAAAAAAGACATGATGGAATGTGTAGCTAACTTACCAACCATCTTGCTAAAAGGTCTGTGACAAAGCTAGAACTCACATCTCTGGGTTTTGTCTTTGCCTTTCCACTTATATATTCTCCTCCAAATGATAAACCAACCATGATATAAGTTATACATATACATACAAATATATATTTCTAAAGCACTCTATCATTAGACGAATTAAAATCTTTCAGGGATAGAGATGTAGCTCAGTGGTAGGGCACTTGCCTAGCATGTGTTAGACATTGGGTTAAATTTCAGCACTACAAATAAAAAAAAAAACAAAAGAAACCTCAAAAAAAATCCCCCAGGCAGGCGCACTTTGTCGGTGATGTCGGGGCGCCGCTGGACCAGCTGGACCAGCTGGAAGGCGTGCGTGGGGAACCTCTGAGCGACTGGGAAAAGGTGGGCATTCTTGAGGCTATCTGCACCTTCTGACTGGGAAAAGATGGTCAACGTCTTGAAAGGAGTGCTTATAGAATGCGATCCCGCCATGAAGCAGTTCCTCCTGTACTTGGATGAGTCTAATGCGCTGGGGAAGAAGTTCATCATTCAAGACATCAATGACACTCATGTCTTTGTAATAGCAGAGTTGGTTAATGTCCTCCAGGAGCGAGTAGGTGAATTAATGGACCAAAATGCTTTTTCTCTTACCCAGAAGTGAAAATACTAAACGTTGGCCACTTAGGAATTATAAGCAGCAAATGTGAAAGACCATCCCCATTTCAAATCATGTAATCAGTTAAACCTAGCAGATTGTTTAGGAGCATGTTGTAGGAAAGACGGTGGGATCATTTGTTCAAACAAAAAAACCCAAAGCCCCTGAACTGACTATGTTGTACTTTAGAAGTTAAAATAAAAAAGAAACTTTTAACAGTGGGCTGTTCTTTTAGTAAAATAAAAATGTTTTTCTTATTTTTAATACTAATTTAACACATCAAAAATAAAATGGAATATGCCATTCGATTTTTCAGTGTAACTTAGATAATTATGTTACTTGTTCCTGTTCATAATTGTGAACTTTATAGTATGAATGCTGTTGATTTTGTTTCAGTTATAAACTTTATAGATTTACTAAATAAAAATGCAAGGGTAGAAAAAAAAATCCTCCAGACACCTTAAAGAAAAGGTTGATGCTAGGGCTGAGATACAGAAAGTAGAAGAGAAATAAAGGAAAACAGATGAGAATGAGCGAGGAAAGATCCATGATTGCACAGCGTTCCACATCTTGGAATGTCAACCAAGATGGCCTCCTACAGGTTAACTGGCCTATTTCACATTCAAATTCAACTATTTTGATTGAGTTTTATTTTGGCCAGTCCTGGGGTTAGTGCTCTACCATTTGAGCCATAGCTCTACTTCTGGCTTTTTTGATAGTCTATAGGAGTCTCTGGAACTGTAATCCTCAGATCTCAGCTTTCTGAGTAGCTAGGATTACAGTTGTGAGCAACTAGTGCTTTGATTTTTCTTTTTCAATACAAAACAAGCAGAAAAACCTCAATTATTTTTCTGTTCATACAAATTCATATTTCAGATTAAATAATATCCTTCCCAAGGCCAACATATTTTTGCACATATTGAGGTAATGTTAAAGAAATGGATAAGGAACCCACAACCCAATTATGGAACATTTAACCAAAAGAACATTTAAATTTCTATGAAGTTTTATCAAAGTTGCTAAAACTAGGATATTTCACAGTTGAAAGTCTGACACTGAACTGAGCTTTGTTTTGCTTTTGGTGCCAGTACTGGGGCTTAAATTCTGGGCCCAGCAGCTGTTTCTTCTATTTTTCTGTTCAAAGCTGGTATTCTACTACTTGAGCCAGAGCTTCACTTCCAGCTTTTGGTAGTTGATCAGAGACAAAATTCTCACAATCTTTTCTGCCTGGGTTGGCTTCAAACTGTGATCCTCAGATCTCAGGTTCTCGAGTAGACAGGATCACAGGTGTGAGCTACCAGCACGAGGCTCACCTGTTCTTTCACACCACTCACCTGGAGCGCGCTGGTGAGCAGCCTTCCCTGCAAAGCCTCCAACTGGGCATTGTAAAGCAGGGCTTTCAGATCAGCCCCGGTAAAGGAGGTGGTGACTGACGCCACATGCTGAAGGTCTACATCATCGGCCAGAGGCAGAGAGTCACTGAGAACGTTTAAAATTTCAAGGCGTGATACCTGAAGGAAGAAAAGTGAATTGATTTAACAAATAAAAAATAAAATTTTATGAATTAATTTTATTAAAAAAGTATTGCCAAAGGTTAAAAATAAATTAACTTTACTTATCTAAAAAGTTTTACAAGTGGAAAACCATACAAAAGTCTATTTATTTTCTTTGGAATCTTTTCCCTAATGGAATGGACATCAGTGAAAATCAGTGAAATTAACAGGTAACTGTTTTAGTGTAAATCACTGTCTTACTCAGACTAGTTATTTTCTAGATTTGAGTAAGTGTTCCAATAAACAACAATTTAAATAATGTAAATAGTTGCTACATGTGACATATTATGATATTTTATACCTTTGACAATTTGTTTATGTGATCTTCCTTTAATCTTAAATTTGAGAACAAGATTTGGTTAACACGTAACTACAAGTTTTTTTTTAAAAACCTTATCACTGTGATTCTAACTTGATCACATTCCTACTATTCAAATATGCTTGATTCTGTATCCATGCTTTGTTTTGTTTGTTCTTGTTGTTGTTTTATTTAACAGAATAATGGGGTGTGTGCTACTTTTTTTTTTTGGCAGTTGTGGGACCTGAACTCTAGGCTGGGTGCTGTCCCTCAGCTCTTTAGCTCAAGGCTAGCGCTCTACCACTTGAGCCACAGCGCCACTTCCGGCTTTTTTCTTTCTGCTTATGTGGTGCTGAGGAATCGAACTCAGGGCCTCAGGCATGCAAGGCAAGCACTCTACCACTAAGCCACCTTCCCAGCCCAGGTGTGTGATTTTGAATACAGAGAAGATGACATGTAACACTTTAGGTTTCTTGCCTTTTTTTTTTTTTTCCAGTTGGTGAACACTGCAAGGTTAAGAAGTGTTTAGACTTGTAGGAAAATGACCAGGCCAAAGAAAAAAACTTAGCATCTGATTCAGAATCTGTTTACCCTTTGGGCACACAGTGACTAAAGCCCTTGCCTAAGAAAGCTAGTCTTCTAAGGATAATTGCTATCACCTGGCAGAAGGAAAGTTCACAAGGAAAGAGTGTAGCATTTGTTGGATTTTGGACTCTAAATATGAAATTGTCACCTGATCAGGAGGAGGACAGTATACACATTTATCTAGTCGACCAGGCCTAAGCAGGGCAGGGTCAATCAAGTCAGGGCGACTAGTGGCAGCCAACACATAAACACCTAAGGGAGGAAAAAAACAACACTTGAAAAAAAACTATAATGTAGTACAATCTTGTTATGACAGTATATTTGTGCATTTATGCTGATTACCCTGTAAGCCTTCTACTCCATCCAACTGAGTCAGTAACTGGTTAACCACTCGATCAGTAACACCTGTATTGTCATGACCTCTTCGAGGGGCAATGGATTCAAATTCATCAAAGAAAAGAATACAGGGCTTCGCGGCCTGTGCTCTGAGAAAAGCAAACATTGCCATTTGAATAGAGCTTAAAAGCTGCAAACTAATTTCATGTATAAACACTTACAAACATATACATACAAACACAGGTATTTTTTTTCTCATCTTCACAGTAAACCAAGGTTCAAGCCACTCTGTCCAGTCATTTGGAAGGGGCTTCCTGAACTTTTCTGCCCAGACTGGCCTCAAACCTCCCAAACTTAACCTCTGAAATAGCAAATGTAAGGCCCTTAGTTCAATCACCAATATTACCAACAAAGCAAGAGTTTTATTATTTAATTTAACTGTGTTGTTAGAGAATAGTCTGTACAATATTGTTTCTTTGAAACCTTTTGGTCTCATGAGTAGCTCATTTTTTTAAATGCTTAAGTGGGCCTGAAAAGAATACATTCTCCAGTTGTTGGGTGCATGATCTAAAATGCTCATCAAACTATTCCCATTGATTATATTGCTCAAATATCCTCTTATGATTTTATTGTTTCAATCCAACAATTACCAAGAAATGCTGAAGTCTCCTATTATGAAAGGTAGATCTGTCCATTTTTCCTCATTCTTAAGTATTCTGAAGCTGCATTATTAGATACAAATAACTTTACAATCACATAATCTTCTTGATTAGTTAAGCCTTTTTATCAATAATGTAGTGGTGGTATTTATTTCTAGTAAACCATTTTCCTGGTAATATTCTAGTCTTAAGTTGGGTAGTGGATACACGTTGATTTTACTATTTTTTAAAAAATTGTTTAAGCTTATAATATTTGTCCTCCTAACTGTATACTTCAAAATAAATTAGCAACTATGTTTACCTTTAAATATTATTTTCTTTACTCACATACAATTTTATGCATAATCAAAATAATAACACTATTTTAATTAAATTGGCCATATATATATCTTGATATGTAACATACAAATTCAGAACTGAGGGAAAAGGAACTTAGAATTTAGAAATGTAAGAGACATGTCAGAAATAATTATTTGCTTCATATACTCAGAAGGCTGAAGTAAAAGGATTATTAGTTCGAGGACAGCAGAAGCTACATAGGAAGTTTCAGGCCAGCAGGCTAGAAAGCAAGATACTGTATCAAAAAAAGACAAAAATAACAACAATAAAAATTGAATCTGAAGTGTATTTGAATAACCATTTAAGATTCTGCTTTCTTGTGTGTACTGAGCTTTGAATTCAGGGCCTCGTTCTTGCTAGATGGCCATGCCTCCTCTGGCTCTTTTTGCTTTATTTTTCAGATAGAGTTTTGTGTTTTTACCTGGGCCAACATGGCCATGGATCCTCCTACTCAGGCCTCCTGAATAATGTGTGTGACAAGCATATAGCCATCTTTTTGGATGAGATGAGGTGGGGGGAGGGGGAGGAGAGGCAGTCCTTACTAACTTTTTGCCTGGATTGGCATGGAAATGCAAGCATCCCAATCTCTACCTCCCCAAGTAGCTGGGATTGCATGTATAAAGCACTATGCCGTCATTATTCCATTAAAAAGAAACTTCATTATTAATACAACAGAAATAAGCTCCAAAATTTAATACTGGAAATATTTATATTTAAGTAGTATTTGGTAAAACAGAGAAATCTTATCCTTTAGTTTATTAATAATGCCTATATATATCAGAATATGTTCTTTAAAAAGGCACTTATTGGTAAATAATAATGGAGTCAATTGCTTAAAAATATTCATAAAGAACCAACCTAATGAAAATATCCCGAACAGCTTGCTCACTGGCTCCAATATATTTGCTGAGTAACTCAGGACCCTATTAAGTAAAATAAAGTTAAGAGTTGAGATAAAGTAAAACCTTGTTTTTTTTTAGTAAGTTGAAATGAAACACAGAAAGTTTTAATATATATCAGAGAAATATATTTTAAGTATATGTCTCTTCAAAATATATATTTACATATACATTAAAGTAGTTGGGCCTGGGAAGGTGGCTCAGTGGTAGAGTGCTTGCCTTGCATGCCTGAAGCCCTGGGTTCGATTCCTCAGCACCACATAAGCAAAAAGAAAAAAGCCGGAAGTCGCGCTGTGGCTCAAGTGGTAGAGTGCTAGCCTTGAGCTGAAGAGCTGAGGGACAGCGCCCAGACCCAGAGTTCAGGCCCCACAACCAGACCCCCCCAAATAAATAATAAATAAATAAATAAATGTAGTGTGTGTTGGAATAAATATCACACCACAAGTTCCTACTTTTGGAATTTCCTCTGCCTGGAACATTTGCCCCTAGATAATCTCAAGTTTTGTTTCATTTAGACCTCTGTCAGAATGCCAAGTCTTCTAAAAAAAATTTGCCTGACAATGCCATCAATGACCTGCTCCAGTTACCCATGCCTCTTTTCTACTTTCTTTCTACATAGTAAACACCACCACCTGGGGTAGCTTTCACACTAGATGTGTCTAGTTGCTTGCTGTCTCTTTCTACTAGTAGAATATAAGCTGCAAAAACAAAATTTTGCTCATTGCTCAGTGGGCAAACACTGCCTCCACATAACTGCTGAATAATCATTTGTTTTGTGAAGAAATGAATGCTTTAAAGAGGGACAAAGTCCCAATTATCTCAAATTTTTGTAGACTCTAAAAAAACTGTAGGTACATACTTACCTTAACCAGTATCTTCAGTTATGGAAACTAATCTTACTTATATGGAAATTGAATATATTGCCTTTCTTGAAAGGCAACTGAAAATTTTGCAAAACAAACTTCATTATATAAAGCAAAATTAATAATATCTGTAGTGTCTCCTTAAATTGAGTTCTCTAGTCTGGGGGTATGTACTAAGGGCCGGGGTGCTGTTCTTGTGCTTTTGTATTCAAGGCACAGCTCTACTTCCAGCTTTTTGGGTATTTAATTGGAGATAGGGTCTCACAGACTTTCCTGCCCAGGCTGACTTCAAACTGTGACCCTCAGATCTCAGCTTCATGAGTAGCTAGGAGTATATGTGTGAGCCATTGATTCCTGGCAATTGAGATCTCTTGTTAAACTGAGAAGATCCTAAAATAATCTCTAATAAAAAATTACTACCCTAATTTTCGTTTAAAAATAATTTTTTTTTTTTTTTTTTTGTCGGTCGTGGGGCTTGAACTCTGGGCCTGGGCGCTGTCCCTCAGCTCTTCAGCTCAAGGCAAGCGCTCTAC